GTACCAAATTAAATGTCTCTAGTTCGAAAAGTCATTGAGCTATGTCAAATAAAAATATCTCAAAATCGACTTATGTCGATATTATAAATATTCGAGTAGATATCGTGTAAAGCTTTTTACTTGTTAACTCTAGTTCTTATAGTCAGCCAGTTAAGCAAAAAACCATAGCCGGAAAAATTAGACTTTTCTGTCATACAAAGAAAAATGATTGACTTATGCTTAATTTATAATAAAACAAGTAAGAAAGCTCTAGTCGGGGTGCCCGACTAGGAGATACCCTGATCCCAGTCCTTTGAGTTTTAATATTTTCCGTAGTTTGTATCGAGTATTAAAAAAAAAGAAAACAAATAAAAATCGACATTGCGAGACCAGGTTTCGAACCCGGATTATTTGCGCAACGTGCACAAACTCTACCAACACCGCCACTTCATAACTAAAAAAAAAAATAAAACAATAAAAAATGTTTCTTCTCCACTGGTCTCGAACCCGAACCAAGCTGCATACGATCGGCGCCTCTACCAACGCAGCCACTGCCCTTCTTACGCGAGTTGTTGCAAATTTGAACATAAGTAGCAGCTAATAATTCAGCACAATTCAATCGCAATTTCAATTCTTGGAATAGAAAAGAATACACGCATTTGAATGTATGTGTGCACACGCATAGGAAAAATGCGTGCGCGTGGCGCTTCTGACATGTGCTTTTGCAAATTAGCCAAACGTTTTGTTTAATAACTTCTGTTTTACTTAATAGATTTTAATGAAATTTTCAGCATATGATCTACATATCCTATTGGCTTGGTTGAGATGCAAACGCCTTTACATAATGGCCCTAGTTCCAACTAAACTTAAATTCTAAGAATTTGGGGAAATTTGGAGCCGGTATCCAAAATCCAACAAAAATCAAAATTGCATAAAATATACATAAGACTAAATACAAAATTTGGAAGCTCTAGCTCTTAAGACGTTCGAGATATAATTTATTTACTACATTTCAATAATGTTTTTATTCGATAACAATTAAATGCGAATAGTTATCGAATATTTGAAACAAACTTGACCTGCGCGTGCTATACATGGACCTACAAAAAAAATTTCAAGTCTCTAGC